CATTCCAGATTTTCAGATTTAAGCTTTTCTGTTAAATTTATATTTTAAATTCATATCCTAGAGTTTTTCTAAATGTAGGTATGCTATATACTGTTATAAAATACAGAACAAGGCAAGTGCAATTTTCCACTATTAGGGTGCTCAGTATTTAAAGTTCCTGAATTTCTAATTGGGCTTGTTCCTTTTCAGGATCAATGGTTATGGGTCAAGAAACAGATATACCAGTTACAGATGCAGTACAAAATTCAACAGATACCTCTGACCCCACAACTGCTACAGACTCTACAGCCACTACTGAAACCACCACCACCACCACCACCACTACCACTACCACCACCACCACCACCCCTGAGCCCACAACCTCTGAAGCCACAACTGAACCTATAACTACTGAAGTGACTACTACTGAACCTGAGACTACTACTGAACCTCAAACCACTACTGAAAATCCTACCACACCATCACCAGATGCAAAGTACAGTGTGGAAGAGGGAAATGTCACCTGTATAATCATTGATGGTGGAATTTCCTTTACTGTGAAATATGCTGATCGAAATAATGTAAGTAGAGTACTCTACATTCGTATTACTTAAAGTATATTTACTGTTAATTTTAAGAGCATATTTAAATTATAATACTTAATGGTAAAGGGTATAAAATGTATGAAACTAATTTACTTCGCAGCTAATTCTTATCCTGACCCCTTTTGTCATCTCCCATGTATATGGGGCTAAAGCATGGGTTTTAAACATTGTAGTGAGGAGCTTGAAGGCAGTGGATATGTAGTGTCTGAGGGCAGTGTGTGACATGTAATGCAGAGAATTCGCAGTTTGGAGATTAGAAGGAAATGAAAGCTTTTAGAGGCTGGTAGCACTTGTTCATAGAACTATCATATTTTTTTTTCTCCACTTGTGGGGTTTTATAGGTGTTCAAGTAATTGGGATGGCCTAAATAATGATCAGTCATTACTTATACAGTGGACCCTCTGGCCACAAAGCTTTCAAGCACGAACAGATCAGTTCACGACCAAAAAAAGTGCCAAATTTTTACATCTGATCATGAAAGCAATCGGGTGCTTGCTGAACAAACAGCCGCGCCAATTTTCACATTCCACACCAGTTTTCCCCCACTTGGGAGGTCAGGTCCCTCTCAAATCCAGCCGTTCTCACTAGTAGAGGTTGTCTAAGTTGATTGTAGGTCTGTACCAAGATATCCTTGTGTTGCAGTGTCTGACAGATTGAAATAAAGATACCTAACTGTTGCATGTGTCTTACCTAACAACCTGTCGGTATTTTATACCATTTTCATGTTCAGCTCTATACATCACTAGTGAGGCCTCATTTAGATTATGCTGCTCAGTTTTGGTCCCCTTACTACAGGATGGATATAGACTCATTAGAGAACATGAAAGTAAAGACACATGCAACATCTGGAAATCTTTAACGTAGACGTTTCGCCATCCAGTGGCTTTATCAATACAAATTCTAGGACATAATTGGAAGACTGTAGAAATATATACAAAAGTTGAGGTAATCAGTCCCTCAGCCTAGGAGATAGTGTTCACAGCATCGTTTATATATTTCTACAGTCTTCCAATCATGTCCTAGAATTTGTATTGATAAAGCCACTGGATGGCGAAACTTCCAAGTTAAAGATTTCCAGATGTTGCACATGTCTTTACTTTCATAGTGTTGGTATTTTATACCTTTCTTGCGCATTAGAGAACATACAGAGAAGAATGACTAAAATGATTTACTGTGTAAGGAACCTCCTGTATGAAGATACTTAAAGCCTTAAATCTCCACTCTGGAGAGGCATAGAATGAAGGGAGATATCATTGAAGTGTGTAAGTGGATGACAGGCATAAACAAGGGAGAGATTAATAAAGTACTGAGGGTGTCGAACCCGGTAAGAACCAGAAATAATGGATATAAGTTGGATAAATTTAGATTTAGAAAGGACATAGGTAAGTACTGGTTTTCTAACAGAGTTGTAGATGCGTGGAAGAGTCTTCCCAGTGGGGTGATAGAGGCTAGGACCTTGGGTAGCTTTAAGAAGACTGGACAAATATGAGTGGGAGGGGCTGGGTTTGATTGGTGTCATGGGGTACGGGAGTTATTTCTTGGGTAGCTTTAGGTAGAGGTCGTTTTGATAAGGACCTGCCTTGTATGGGCCAGTAGGCCTTCTGCAGTGTTCCTACATTCTTATGTTCTTATATTCCATGTTTGTTATTAATATTGTTTATTATGTCATATTAGTTGAATTGTGATAGATAAATAAGCATTATTAGTGTCATATTCTCCAACAGTTAACTTGCCATCCCTCCCTCGCACAAACAAATCGCCAGTAAGAACATAAGAAAGGAGGTACACTGCAGTAGGCCTGCTGGCCCATACTAGGCAGGTCCTTTACAATCCTTCCCACTAAGAACATAATGGAAGAACACTGCAGGTCTACTGGCCCATACAAGGCAGGTCCTTATCAAAATGACCTCTGCCCACAGCTACCCAAGAATTTACTCCCGTACCCAATGACACAAATCAAACTCTACTCCTCCAACTCGTATATTTGTCCAATCTCTTCTTAAAGCTACCCAAGGTCCTAGCCTCGATCACCCTACTGATAAGTGTTGTTAAATAAGAACTTAAGTTGGAACAGGCCTGCTGGCCCATACTAGGCCGGTCCTTCACAAATCCAACCCACTAACGGAACAAATGCTACCCAAGCAGTAAGCTCGGGTGCAAGTCCGACTCAAATCCAACCCCTCACTCGTGTATTTATCCAACCTAAATTTGAAACTACCCAATGTTTTAGCTTCGATCACCCTACTAGGCAGACCGTTCCACTCAACTACCCCTAGTACCAATGTTCATTTATACATTTTATTAGTGCTTTACTTTTATTTGGAATTTTTTTCTGCATGTAAATCTGTTTATGCTAGGGAAGTGACCCCTGAAGTGACCTAGAGTCCTTATGGAGGGGGATTCCCCTTCCAAACAATAACCACTCTGCCCTCTCTCCTCCCTGTCTTCCATTCATCAACAACAGCCTTCAATAAAGGTAACTGTCATGTTGAATGTTCATTCTTTTGTGCATGTAAATCTTTTAGGTAAAAAAAATTGTTGATACTTCTAGGTGTCTGGAACGAATTAATTGGATTTACATTATTTCTTATGGGGAAAATTGATTCGAAAAGTCTATTTCGATAATAGTCCCACTTCCAGGAACGGATTAAGGACGATAATTAAGAGACCACTGTAATTAACCCTTTCAGGGTTTCGGCTGTACTAGTATGGCTTACGTGCCAGGGTCCTTGACGTACTAGTACTCATAAATTCTAGTGCCTTCAAATCTAGTGAAAGCTGGTAGGCCTACATATGAAAGAATGGGTCTGTGGTCAGTGTGCGGTATAAAAAAAAAAAAAAAAAAAAAAAAAAAAAATCCTGCAGCAGTGCGTAATGAGAAAAAACTGACCATGTTTTTGGATTAAAACAGTGAATTTGCACTGTATTTTCGTATGGTATTTATTATTTTACTCTAGTTTTCCTGGTCTCATTTGATAGAATGGAAGACATTACAGAAATTGAGATGATTTTGACTGGTTTTATAATGGAAAGTACCTTGAAATTGAGCTCAAAGTAGCAGAAATGTTCTATTTTTACCAAACTTCAAAAGCAAGTAAATCATGCTAAGCGTCCAATACACGTCAACTGGCGAGTCTAATATTCTTTCACAAGTGTGCTGATATTATTTACACCATTTCTACACTAATGCAGTAGTCTGCATAACAGTAATTTTTTTTTTTTTTTGGAATAAAAATTCAAAATGGAAAGCAAAAGAATGTAAGAGGGCATGGGGATGTGACTAATGAACAGAGGAAGTGTTATTTTAGTACCAGGAATGTGTTTATTCTGGACCCTATTTGGAAATTGGCAAAATTGCTAAATTCTGACCACAGTATTGGATAGTTGAAATCGGTAAATGGGTGGTTTCTTGTACTCATTCGATAGAAAAGAGGTTCTAGCAAAATGGGTATGATTTTTGTAGACTAGTGCACTGGAATTGGCTGAAAATAGGGCTCAGTGGGCAAAATTGCCAATGCGTAAACATCGTCAAGACCGGTAACTTTGCGAGAGCATAATTTCGTAAGTTTTTCCATCAAATTTCATACTTTTTGTGTCGTCATGATCGGGAAAAGATTCTTTTCATAAGAAAATTTTTTTTTTTTTTTTTTGAAATTTCAGAGACCCTGAGAGGGCCTGTGGACCCTGAAAAGGTTAAGGATTTTTCACCGATTTTTGTGCTTAAAACTCGTTAAAAAAAAAAAGAAAAAAAAAAAATGAACTGTTCATTAGAGGTCTGGAACCCTCGTGCATTGTTAGCTTTCTCCGTTCAAGGTTTTCTCTGCGTTATTCGAGGTTTTTGCACTTAGGTTACTATTATACTGTGAATTCTATGGTATAATTAACTACTTTTGTGCTTAAAAACCTTAAAAAAAAATAGTTCATAGGGGTCTGGAACAAATTAATTGTACTTAAAATCCAGTGAAGAAATTAGGTTTGGATCGTAACCAAAATTTTGGAATGGATTAATCATGACCAGAGGTTCCACTATTTTATTGAAAGTGTAAAACTTGTTAAATGTCATATGGTGGGTGGGGGTGGGGGGCTGAGGATTAATGAAAAAGGTTACTTTAGTGACTGAAATGCTTGGTGCCTGTTTTGGATCTCTCCCCCCCCCCCTGAATTGTAGTACTGACTTCTGGGTGCTTATAGGGAAACAATATTGGTGGGCCCCATATATGGAAAGCAAAGTGTGCTTAAAAAATGCATGCAAGTTAATAGACCAAACAGATGTAAGCCACATTTAAATATAAAATTGCATAGATATGAGCCTACAAGTAACAAAAAAAATTTGTATATCACCTCTGAAAAGTGTTCTCAATGCCACTTGCTTTAGTGACCAAAATGATTTATTGAAAAAAATTTTTTCGTGTTTTT